AAAAAAAAAAAAAAAATCCAAACATTGGTGTACGTCCGTTCATAAAATAAAATATGTGAGAAAACTTGATTAACACACTAAAATCAAATACTCGAATATATAAATTAAACCACAAAATAGTACAAGTTCTCTCACTTATCAATGGACCGAACTTATCCGGGCAGTCGAAAACTTCCTAGGCTTGGGACCGGTCCGGTTCTTAACATACTTTTCAAGAACCTGAACCAGAACCGAAATAAAAAAACCAGTTCGGTTAACACCTAAATATCTGCAGGAACCGAAATAGAACCGAACCGAGTTATAACGGTTCAGTTTTTCCAGTTCTTCGAGTAACCGAATTATGAAGAATAACCAACAATAACCGGTTTTGACTTAAAAACCGGTGAAAAAATTACAACTTATGATCTAAAAGTATCATAAAAATCGAGAAATGAAATGCAAAAATGAGGAACCGAGTATTAGATATCAAGAACCAGAACCGATTCATATATATACACATATAAAACATGCATATTTCATATATATAGTCGGTCCCTCGGTTAATACGCAAACATTTGCAAAAGAACCGGGAACCAAAACCGGATTTTTGCAAAATTAACCAGAACCGAAAAAAAAGTTTCATTTTTTTGAATAACCGGACCGAACCAGTTATTTTCGGTTCGGTCCGGTTCGGTTCTCGGGTATAAAATCTCACCCCTAAACTTCCGGGCCAAAAACACCCGATCACAGCCCAACTGCATCAGCAGTGCAGCATCCGTTGGGTTGCAATTAAAAGATTGTTTCCATCACATCATTGTCTCCAACCATTAACAAACCTAGTATAAGCTACTGTACAATCACCATTTCCATTTCCCATATCACAAGTTAACTGTAAAGATGCTCATCTAATGTAGATCAAAGCCAATCTAAAATCCAACAAAGAGAGAGGAGAAATGATAAATTCCACACAATACTCTTATAGGGAAAACACTATTCAAATTCATCCTGCGTATGTGTTTAATTAAAAGCACAAGCACAGGACCATCAATATTCATTAATCATGGTAATTGCATAAAATTAAGAAGTAATTTTACTAAATTCACTCAAAAAATAAGTTAAAAAACTGCTCATAATGCTCCATAAAACCAAATCATTACCAGGGAAAAAAAAAAAGAAGAACGAATTATAAGTTTACAATCTACAATATTCAGCTTAAACATTAAAAAAAAAAAAAACTTGGAAAACTAATGCACTAGATAATTAACTCCAATTAACATCTTCATGAAATTTCTGTAATTCCCATAACCGGAGAAACTGAAAACTCACTTGCATACATCATGAATCATCAGAAAATATTGGTGGCTTGCGGTTATAATTTGAGAATTCGCGCAGCAAAATTCGTGTGTCGCGATTGCCATTGATGCACTACTGTAGGGGTAAGAGAGAGTAATTAATTCTCTTACACATGGTAGATTTCTCTTCTGTTAATCAGTGGCCAGCTTCGGATTTCGACAATCGCTCATAATTCCTACTAGGTCTTGTTAAAAGAAACTTCTTCTGCTTCTTCTTTTTTTTTTTCTGGCAATTTCGCAGAGACGACCAGGGCCTGGGAGTCGTTCGAGAGGTGGTTTGCAGGTAGAGGAGAAAGAGGGTAAGCGTGGCTATAGCTATGGAGGCGAAGAAGGATATGTGTTTCTCCATGGATAGATCATTTGGAGCTTCGTATTCGATTTTTTTTTTCAGATCTGGAGAAAGAGAGTAAAGACGAGAGAGAACCTATTTTTTTCTCATTTTTTTGATTAAATAATAAAATAAATGAATAATAATAGTATTAGTATTTATATGGGGAGTTGAGAGGAAAGAGAAATATGTATTAGGGAGTAAAGAGGAAAATGAAATACAATGGAGACTGACAAGGAAAAAGAATTGTGGATTGGGGATTTAAGAAGAATTTACCGAATATCTTTCTTCAATACAAGAGAAAGAGAAAAATCATGTTGTACTCGGACATAAAATAAAAAAATCAAATCGAAGGTACGGAAGATAGAAACAAACTTCTCTCCTTATCTAAAACAAAATTCTCCAAAAAAAAAAAAATATGCAGGCCAAAGCAATGGCTCGGATCACCGCCGCCACCCCTATCTCCGCCGACGAACCTCACCCCGCCGCCGCCTTCCCCTCCCACAGACCTTCCTTCCCGATCAAACCCGCCTCATTTCCTACTCTTCCCACCAAACGCAGATCGACAGCGATCTCCGCCATCCAACCCTCCAACCCGCCGCCGTCCTCCTCCGCCGCTACCGTCACCCCCTCGCCAAAAAGGTGGAGTCTTGAAAGCTGGAAATCCATGAAGGCGTTCCAGATCCCGGAATACCCGGAAAAGACGGTCCTCGAGTCGGTCCTGAAGACGCTTGAATCCTTCCCTCCTATAGTATTCGCCGGCGAGGCTCGCAGCCTCGAGGAGCGTCTGGGACAGGCGGCGCTTGGTAATGCATTCCTGCTGCAGGGAGGGGATTGCGCGGAGAGCTTCAAGGAATTCAGCGCCAACAACATTAGGGATACTTTCAGGGTGCTGCTGCAGATGAGTGTGGTCCTCATGTTTGGTAGTCAGATGCCTGTTATCAAGGTCTTTCTTTTTCCTTTTATTTTTCGCGGTTTTTAAAGCTTATTTTAGATTAGTCTGTTTGAGTACTCTGTTTTCGTTTATACATGGAAATTTGATTATGACTGGGGGAATCTTTCTGTGCATGGACCATTGTAAATAGAACTGAATTATGAGAAGCAATCGTATCATTGTTTTGTTTCAGAAAGGTTGCATTTGTCCACAAGTTCTTGTATTTGGCGTATAAGAACCTTAAAAAGTTGCTTTCATGCTTAAATTCGACAATTTTGCGCCACAAGCCGTAGCATGGGATTTATCGAATATTTATTTAGTTTTTGTGTTATCTTTGTTGCTTAGCCATCTAGCAATGGCAAATTGAATCAAATTTCTCAATGACAGCGGCCTGATTGGATCGTGCAGTTTCCGTTAACTTGCTCTTGACGGCTCTACTAACTTTAAAATTTTGCAAGATTTAAAATTTTCCTTGCTGAGAGAACTCTTGGAATGTGTAGAATTGGTTATGAATCACTATGAGGTCAGTCCCATCTCCCATGTTTCTCTAAAGCAGTAAGAGCATGTGGTTATAAAGCACAGGAGGCACTCAGTGGGAGAAAGTCAAATATGGGCGTCTAAATCTTTTCACAACACTTTTTTACCCTTTCCGAACATTGATTAGGAATGCTAAACATGAGAAGCTGATATTACATAATCGAGCGATTGAAATTTTTCCTGGGTTGCGAGTGTTGTATTATTTTAGGTGGGCAGAATGGCGGGTCAGTTTGCTAAGCCGAGATCAGACCCGCTTGAAGAAAAGGATGGTGTGAAGCTGCCGAGTTACCGTGGGGATAATGTCAATGGCGATGCTTTTGATGAGAAATCGAGAACTCCGGATCCCGAGAGAATGATTAGAGCTTACACACAATCGGTGGCCACACTAAACCTTCTTAGAGCATTTGCTACAGGAGGGTATGCTGCTATGCAGAGGGTCACACAATGGAATCTTGATTTTACTGATCACAGTGAACAAGGTGACAGGTATGCTGTCCTCTGTCTTTTTTTTTTTTTTT